AGGGGCAAAATTTAGCAACTCTCTGATGTCCATATCGTCACCTTCCAGGCAAAGTATCACAAGCGCCATGCGACGTTTAAAAATTTCCGCCGCCATTATATTTTTTTACGGAGACATTGTTCAACGAAGCTGTCCGAAAATTACACCGAATTTTCTTTGTGCTGCCGATAAAATTTAGTGAAATTTTCGAACAAATTCAACCAACAATTTCTCAGTAAAAAAATAAAATGGCGGCGGAAATTTTTAAACGTCGCATGGCGCTTGTGATACTTTGCCTGGAAGGTGACGATATGACGTTTCTCCTTGGCATGGCAGTACAGTTATTTGAAGACAGCGGAAAGAGATTGGACCTTACGGATGCACATTTTTTATTAGCCGTATGAACTAGTCCTTCAGCTATGGCATTTCTCTTGTGTGCTCTCTGTTCAAACAGTAATTTAATCGTGTTTGAAGAAGAAAACTCGCAGTGCCTTCATATATTATTCCGACTGCGCGAATGAGAAGGGAGAAAATCGTATAGATATAGGGAACGTAGGTAATCAAAGGCAGAGTAGCCTTGGGTCGTTGTTGTTCCGTCAAAAACATATCATGGAAGACATAGCGGCCATCGATTACGGCAAGACACGCAATCTTCCTCGAAAGAAATTCCCAAATGATTTGCCGACATTAATGCATATTTTAACCGGTAGTGTTATGCCCAACTTATGATTTCAGCCCCCAGCCCTACCGTTCAGGGTTTCGTGCAAGGGATAAATCGAAATTTGCCCTCTGGGGGGAAAGAGCTCATCAAATCATGAGGAACAGCCCATCATTTTTCCTTCCTGCGCTCAATGACAACTGCCGAAAGAACTGAGCCTCGAAGCATTGGAATCCCCTGTTTAAAAGCAATGCCAGGCTTTTTCAGAATAGTTTCAGCTCCAAGCTTAGAGGCACCTAGAGAGTATTACTCAGAAATGTGAGAATAATCTCATTTGCCCTCTTTTTGAAAAGTTGAAAAATCGAAATTATTTTCAGGAAAGCTCGAGGAGTATACTCATGAAGGACTGGGAGCTCTCGGCGTAACTCGTGATTGGCGCTTGGCACCTGCCAAGAACTGTATGGCATTAAAAAAACCTGGGCAATAATTCGAAATATCGGAAGCAACTGCCTCATTCTGTAATCACCACATACCGAAAGTCGAAAAAATATGAGAATCGGCCCGATTGAACTTCAGGGGAAGCTTGGTACAGGAAAAATTCACAATGAGAGAACTTACATGTAATGATGATTGGAGGCAAAGCCAGGCACCCACCTCCATGGGACAAAGCAAAGAGTGGCTTCAAGTTCTTGGGTAAAACAATTTCCGTTTACCACCCTTCTCTCAATCCCTCCACCCTACTCTCCGTCCCCTTCTTAATTTTCTGGCAAACAAAGGAGGAAATTGCACCTTTAGCCTCTCTGGATCCTTCCACTTAAACCACAAATTCATTTGAATCCCTTTCATTCAACAACGTGTACACTCAGTGTAGGTTGACTTTTCAAAATATTCTGATTCAGAGGCCATGAAACTTACATAAAAGCAACTTAATTTTGAAAAATAATTTTTAAAGTTACTTTTGAGCTTAATTTGTTCCGTAAAGTGTTGAAAAGGAAAGACATTTACAAATAGTTAATTCGTGCTCGACGCCCAAACGGCAATTTTTAAATCAAGTTGTAAGTTAGGATTTATAAAGTTGAATAAGTTGTTGCCTTATTTAACTAAAAATATAGTTTCATTTGATTTTCCCTCGAGCATTTAATGGAGAAGACTCTTAGCAGAAAGGATCAGCGGGAAAAAAAGTGTTGCGAGTTATCTCCTAAAATTGTGGTATAACCTCGATTTCTTGGATGATACGGGCATTTCCAATTCATTGTAATAGAACCGCAACTCAAGTGGTGGTGTATAGCACTAAAACATTTGGGTTAGTTGCCTAATTTATTGGGGTACTACCACAATTGATTTAATAGCATTTTGCCATAGGAACCACAAGCATTCCAATGTCACCAATATTGTGCAACTTTTTTTAACCTTGCAAATTTAAACTGACCATCTAAACAAGTTTTATCTTTACTTTCAATAATCTATGTCAACGACAGGGAAACTTAAAATATGCGTACCTTAATTCGTTTGTTCTCGAACCAAGGAAAGTGACTTTATTCAAAAGTTGCAAAATGGACTCGAATAAATCATTCTTTTTTTTACAAGATAAAGACTGTCGGACTTCTGATCGAAAATGCGCTGATTTTTTGGTGTAATCAGGAGAAAAATCAATGATGTTTTTAGAAAATTCCTCAATAATCGCAAGGAAATCCATCAAAAAATGCATGATTGCGGACTTACACCGTCAATATGCAAGGCAAAAACTTTATGCAGGGTAAATTGGGAATCTTACACTGTACATCGTCGCTCTTCTGACTCAAGGGCGTATCACAATTTCTAACTGGGCCCTATTCTCCGTATAACTCCATACTTTTTGCGGCTAGTGCGGAAATGCTGTTACACTCTTTTGTCAGAAAAGAAGAATTCAAAAAGAAATCGCCACTGATTCCCAAACCACTTTTGATTTAAGAAAAAAAGAGACAAAGAAAAAAGCACGTGAAATTCAAAAATGAAGGAACGAGATGAGAGTACGGACAATGTTGCCTTCAATTGGAATAAATGCTATCTCCTCCGAAAAAACATGGTAGAAACTGGAACACTCGAGAAAGTGCGTGCCGTGAAATCCGTGATTTGAGTAGGTTTCAGTTTGGATAGGCAACTAATCTAACTCCACGACAAAGCGTAGGGTATCACTGAAAACAGAAGGCGCTGCCGGCCGAGATCCTGCTTTCAAAGGCCATGACCAACGACACCTACGTTGTAACGATGCACATTGTTCCGATTAATTAGGAAAATAAACGTAAGCCGCTTGCAAATTGCCGGCGATTGCCAACCGCCCGCAACCCGACATATGTAGATCAAACCAGTTTTTAAAACTACTGATCAGAAATTTAAAGAAAGAACCGAACCTTGAAAGGGACTCAAGGGGGTAGAAATCGAATTCAAAAAATAATTGAGCCCCTTAAAGAGCAAATTTTTGCGAAAACGAAACTCCATCTCTAGTTTCTTACTTGTTTAGTCTTTAAAAAACTTTAATAAACTGCGATATTCTTATCATGCAGGACATTACCCTTCTTTATGAGAAATTTTATATAGGTACAAGCACTGTCCTTCCTCCTCATAATAAGACAGTAATTATACAATTAATATGTTTATGGATAAATTAAAAAAACCTAGAGAATTAATGAACAAAAAATATTTCTACTGCTAATTAGACGAATAATTAAAAATTTATTATGAAATGCAAATATTTCAAGGAGGTGCTGGCCACCGTGAAAAACTGTTGCTGTTGCTTTCCATCTAAAAGTTAGGCTACGGCAGGAAAAAGCAGTGATCCTCCAAAAGTCAAAATACCTCGGAAGTTGGGATCAACTCCTCTATCTATCTGTTTTTATTCTACTTTTGAAGCGAGATATTTTTAACCTATTATTTTCCAAATCACGTAAGTGTCAATCTCTATTTTGGTGGTAGAGGGGTTGCTCTTTCTTCGTTTCCTCTGGTATAACCAATCATGGCTAATTTTAATGAATCCCTATAAAAGCACTTACAGTTTTTTAGAATTCAAAGATTGTTAACAACACGAAAAAAATGGATTGCTGATTTAACAATTATATTGTTGAAAAATATGTCCAATGTGTTTCAAATGTACATCTGACAATTGTGGAAAGCCAATTGAAACGCGGGGGTGGTTCAATTAGCATTTTTATAATGTGAAATTCACACTAAAGCGCATGTCTGACACTTTTTTTAACTACACAATTGATGAATCAGCAATTCCATTCTTTCCGTGTTATCGATAATCTTTAAATTCCAAAAAATATATATTCTTTCAGAAGGCTTAATTTAAATCAGGCATGATTGATTATACCAGAGAAAACGAAGAGATTACAACTCTAGCTTCCACCACCAAAATAGAGATTGATACTTACGTGATTTGGAAAAAAAAGGTTAAATTTATCTCGCTTCAAAAGTAGAGTAAACAAAGATAGAAAGAGGAGTCGATCCCGCAACCTCCGAAGTATTTTGACTTTTCGGGGATCATTACTCTTTCCTGCCGTAGCCTAACTTTTAGATGGAGAGCACGAGCAAAAGTTTTTCATCGTACAAAAAGAAAAAACAACCCATCTACAACCAAAATAGAAATTGGCGCATAAGTGATTTGGAAAATAATCGGTTCAATGTATCCTGCTTCGAAAGTTGTTGTTCTCGCATCCGCAATTTCGGCGCTTACGTGATTCGGACAAAAATCGGTTCAATTGGACTACATTCTGCAATTTGGAACTATAACTTTTGGCTCAGCTGTAAAAGTTCTTATGTGCATTGGAAAACTATTGGTACATACGTTGGTCCTGAGCTGAGCCGAAAATTATAATTCTTAACTGCCAAATGAATCAGTGAGAACGAAAACACTCGAAAATGCTCAATTTGTATCAAAGACAGTCAATTTTCATGAAGGTCATTGAAGGGAGCGCATCTGTTCCAACTTGGACCTTTAAAGTATCCTTAAGTACTTGTCTTTCGGCACCAAAATGATTTTTCTTAGACTAACTTATTCACGCACTATACAGTTTTGTGTGGGCCTTGATTATTTTCATTTTTTCGAGTCGGCGTGTTTTCGTTCTCACTGATTCAAATGTAGTCCAATTAAGAGATTAAAAAAATTTACACTTACGTCATTCTTCGTTTGAGTGAACACGTGCTTTCATGCGGAAAAAAACTACTTGTCTCTCGGCACCAAAATTATTTTTCTTAGACTAACTTATTCACGCACTGTGCAGTTTTGTGTGGGCCTTGATTATTTTCATTTTTTCGAGTCGGTGCGTTTTCGTTCTCACTGATTCAAATGGAGTCCAATTAAGAGATTAAAAAAATTTACACTTACGTCATTCTTCGTTTGAGTGAGCACGTGCTTTCATGCGGAAGAAAAGTACTCCAAAGTCGCCCGCGCCGGTTTAATTTATCTTAAGTGCCGGGCGCGAGGGGGCCGAAATCGAGGACGAGCCTGAACTTTGGGCGGCTTAATTTTCACTGCTTCTTAATTTGTTTACGGCCCGGGCGATGAACCCGCGGCGCGATGGGAGCGGGAGCTGCGTGGGGACCGCGCGGGGCCGAGCGTGGAGTGAGACTGAGAGGACCCGGGAGCAACGCCGCTCGGACGCGATTTGTGAGCGACGGGCCCGGGCGACGCGGGATGACGTCACAGAAGAGACGCCGACGCCACTGGAAAAGAGCACTTGATTACATTCGCTCGCCGATGCACTTGCACGTGGATCCCGGGCGTGCGAGCGTGTTTACACCGAGAAGTGGTCTCGATGGAAGCTTTTCCGCGGGGGACAGGGGACACGTGTCGATCGAAATCCCGCTGGGAAATCAGGGGTGTCATTTCCTCGTTTCCCGGAAGAAGGAACGTAACTCAACTTCAGGGTTGCAAAATCGACTCAGACAATTCAATTTTTGGAAAAAATGTCCCTGTGTAATTTGTGTCCGAAATTTTTCTAACTTTTGCCTGAGATCAGAATGGAAATTATTGAAATTCCGAAGATTCTCCTAGGCCGAGAAGGATAGGCCGCAGCTTCAACATTTGAACCTCGAATTCGAAGTAGTAGTTCAAGAAGGAATGTAACTCTGCCGTGCTAAGGAAAAACGCCGTATGAACATTCGAGAGTTGCCAAAGTGCCTCCGATAAAATTTTGTTTTTAGAAAAAAGTTATGCATATTTTTCTCAGAAATTTTCAGGTATTTAAGGTTAATCTACGAACAATGTTGCCTGAAAAATTGGAAGAAAAATATTCATGACTTTCCCGGAAAATTGGTATGTTATCGAGGGCAACTTGGCAACGTCTAAAGGCTCATACGGCGTTCTTCCTTAGCACAGCAGAACTAAACGCCAGGGTTGCAAAATCCGCACAAACAATTCAATTTTTGGCAAGAATGTCCCTGGGTAATTTGTGTCCGAAATTTTTCTAAATTTTGCTTGAGATCAGAATGGAAATTATTGAAATTTTCAGTCACAAATTCCGAAGATTCTCCCGGTAATTATCCCGCTGGAGAAATTAGGGGTGTCATTCCGTCGTTTCCCGGAAGAAGGAACGTAACTCAACCCCAGGGTTGCAAAATCGACTCAGACAATTCAGTTTTTTACAAGAATGTCCCTGGGTGATTTGTGTCCGAATTTTTTCTAATTTTTGCTTGAGATCAGAATGGAAATTATTGGAAGGATGTGTCCCACTAAGGAGGGTATTTTGGCCCTAACTTTGGTCGAAAATTGAAACAGCTTAGAATAATGTCATGTATGGTCAAATCGACTCTTAATCATCTACCCCGTGAGAACTCGTCCTTATTTTACGTTTTTTTAAAGGTTTTTGCCTGATTCACCAGCGCAAAGTAGTGAAGTTTTGCAGTTTTCTCGAATAATTGCTCATTTTCGATCCTAAATTAGATTGTTAATGTATGAGCACAAGCGACTACCACTTTCTCCTTTAAATATATTGTAATGGGTGCACTAAAAATTAACATATTTGAATATGAGAGTGGTAGTCCCTTGTGCTAGCACTGAAAAGTGCGAACTTATGTCACTTTTCACAATCCTGGAAAATAAATATATACATAGAACTTATTCGAATTTCGTACCAATGTTTTCAATTTCAGTAGTTGCAAAAGTAACCCTATAAGTGTGAGAACAGTTTTTGATATAATTAAGAATACTTAGGTCACTAATGTAGTGCATAGTCCGTTTGATGGGCACACAGTGGTCAAGCTTCATCACGGCAGGAAGTACAGTGGGCTGGTGGTTGGTTACTAATATTTCTATAATCAGTGAACTTCAACTGCTCGCAATTCCTTAGAGATACAACCGGTTCAGCTAAAATGAGTGTTTCTCAATGTTTTAGGGTTTAAACTAAAAGGCGAGCATGCTTAGACCCTCAAACCTTTTGGGCCAAAAAACCCCCCTTAATGGGACACATCCTTTACAGTTAGAAAGTCTGAAGATTCTCCTAGGCCGAGAAGGATAAGCCGCAGCCTCAAAACTTGAACCTGCGAACCCTCAAAATTTGAATTTTGAGCGTTTAGTTGCGCTTACACCACGCTGCGGCACAGTAAAAGCCCAAAACATAAAAGAATAAATTTGAATGCTTTGGAATTCATTAAATTTGACAAGGAACTACTCTTATAATTACAAAAAAACACATTATATTTTCCAGTACTACATATTTCTTTTTCATCAGTTTAATAAAAGGGAATAATCAATGCAAAGAGTGCAAACATTTCAAATCATGAGTTGAAAAACGCTGACTCCGCGAGTTTAAATATGAGAGCTTAACACAGAGCGGAGCGGCGTGTTAGCAGCGCAGAACGCGCCCTGGCGCCTACAAACCTAACGGAATACTTCACGCATTGCGCAACGCGTGAAGTATCCCGTTAGGTTTGTAGGCGCCTATGCGCGTGTCACGTTGGTTGCCTGCGGCGCCGCAACGCTTTAAGCAACTATTTCGCGTCAAAGGCGTTGCACAGTATCCTACAAGATTGAAGGCGCACGAAATAACTAGTTAAAGAGGACTTTCAATTTTGACAGCATCTGTCACTGAAAAATGTTTGATTTGGCATTGGAGCGTTTCCTATAGGCTCCCGCTTCGGTTTTCATCTTATCATATCCGTACAGTGCACACATGAACATTTGTTTTTATCTGCTCTTAGAGTATATTCTCTTTCATGACTTGATTCATGAATGAAATGTTTTTAAGAATGAATGTAGTAGTAGTATGCATTCATTTTTGAGGTGGTTCCTGTCATTTGAATGAGAAGAAAAAAATGTGGACATAACATGTCCACAATTTGGACAATTTTGGACATATTCATGGTTGGACATTAAATCATGTGGACTTAATATAGACTAGACTTAATGTTTAGTGGACATAAATAGCGGTGGACATTTATTTAATGGACGAATGGTAGGTGGACATAAAGTCCTGGAAGCCTTCATTCACCCTTCAGGTTGATTTAGTTGGGATACAAATCGACGTTTCGCTCATTGCACAACAAATGCACGGAGTAAAGACAGCTGCATCGGTGCCTTCTGCTAGCCCCTTAGGTGAATACTTACGCACTGCTGCTCCTTTTTTGTTCGCATGGAGTCCCTAGATAGCGTTCTGAATACAGAAGGGACGAGGAATCTGCCCTAAACGTTATATTAGTCAATAATGACACGACAATTTATCGTTCAGTGAATTGTGCATCATATAGTGTCACAATTTTTCCTTCAATTCTATAATTAGCAAGATAATAATATAACTTCTGAAAAAATGCACGATGAGACGTAAAAATATAACTAAATTTGTGATAATTTCCTTTTTTTCACCCTATTTTTCCGTTCGATTTACTGAGTTTAAATGGAAATAGTATTTTTCACAGCAAGCTGAATTTCCCATTTCTGCTGATTATTCACTTTATACTCGTGCATTGAACTTTTTAGCTCGTATATTCCAATTCAACAAGATATACATTATGCGCTGTGGATTCACCGCGATAATAGGCTCAAATTGCAGTAAAACTTAAGGTATTTCAAGGCATATTTGGAAATTTCTTAAAGTCGAAGTATGCTATCGTGAAAAACGTGTCAGTCTCGATTTCAAGTTTGACGAGGGCTAATTTTTTCATTCCCTGTTACCAACCGAGGGGAAAAATGGGTCACTGAAATGACGAACCTTCCCGTGCATTCAAAATCGCATTTATCAAAGCATCACGTGTAGCATGAAGCTTCATCATCGACACACAGTGGATCAAGTCAATAGGAGAGGTCGGACAAAATTTGGAGACTTTAAAAGCTCATAACTCCGTTTATGCAGACTTTTGAGGTCCTAAAAGTGGTTTCATCGGTTTCTTCGTGAAATTTTCTTCTTAGAACATCCCCTGAAATTTGAAATGTGACGAAATAAACATAAAAATTTGCGGTTCTAGTCAAAAATTCCATGTCCGAACTCTCTAATTGGCTCGATCCACTGGGCGACGGGAGTGCATCCTGTCGGAACAGGCCGAGCCACGGGCTCATATCGAGGGGAAACATCAATATCTACAACTGACCGACAAGTGAGTGGTAATGCAAATTGAGCGGGCATGGTTGATGTGAAAACACGCAATCAAACACGACCGAGCCTACGCTGTTTGAATTAGGAAAAATTGCAAAGCGGATCGAGAAAATAAAGGAGCAAAGAAGCGGAGGAATGGAGGGCAAGGAAGGAAACATAAATTAGGCTGCACCAAGGTCTTATCAACACGAGGCCCTTCCCTTCCGCCTAATTATATACATCTATCCCTCTGTTCCACCCTTTGTCCCGTTAGGGAAACAGACATGAACCATCCCTTTCAAGGCTGTTCGTGCCGTAGCCATATTTGTAGAGCGACTCAAAAGAATGTAGAGTGTGAGTGCACGACAATGCGGACGGATCTCGATGATGAGACTTTGACAATGAACTTTCAGTCTTCCGTGCGGACAAACAGCTTGATTTTGGAGGTATCAAACACATATTTGAGCAGCCGTGTCAAGTGCAAAGTTTGCGCGGTTATCAGCTCCAATGTCTAGAATTCAAACGTTACAATCTTGGGGAGATGGATCTTAAATAATTATTTGACTTCCAGTTTTATTATTGTATTATATGCACTTGCGGTCATCTCTGTTTTTGTAGGAAATAATGGGACGTAACCGAGCCAGTCTATGTCGACTGTAGCAATGCTCCCATTTTATGATCGTCAAAAGTTCCGGAATTCATTTTAGATTTTTTCAAAAGTTCCGGAAAATGCAAAAAATCCGAAAAATTTCGGGAATTTCAAAAGTTCCTGGAAAAATTCAGAAAAATCTTGGAAGTTCCGAAATTCGTTATTAGTTCCGGGAAATTTCCCCATTTGAAGCTATTATAAATAATCGATGTTTAAGGTATACACTGAAAAAAAATGGTCGATTTTACCATACTTAGACACAGTGATATAGGAATATCTGATACTAAACACCGAACCTTATGATAGCATGTGCCATATTACCGTTTGTATCGCTAGAGCTCTGATGGATTCTACTAAAATTCGAGTTATGTTCACTAAATAGTATCTCTGCGTAAAAAATTAAGTAGACTTACACTAAGTATTACCATACTTTTTTCAGTGCATATGAGGCTCACGAACAAAACAAATCCTTTTAGTTGTGCGCGAATCATTAAATCTTCTCTTAAACTGTTTTCAATTCAGGCCCATGTAATGAAGACAGCGCGTTTTTCTTCACAGGATGCATGTTTGGAGTGTTATTTGTGTTTTTGCATAACTTAATATTTTGTCTGTGCAAATCAGTTTGAACAACGACCAAATGAAAGCCCACTCGTTATTCTGGACGAAAGTATTAATTTTTCAATTAAAATACAAGAAATATCTAGAACAGGATAATTGAGAAATGGTTTAGAAAGAATGATAATCAAAGGTGGATAGGAATGAATGGTAGAATGTGCAACGGAAATCGCCACTGACACAACAGCGAGGATATTCAAACGAAATATATTGCCTTCAAAAATGCGCCTAGGCCAACATGGATGCTTCTGAGTTAAAATAGTTGTATCTACCTATATTTGCGAGCACGAAGAGAGCGAGAAGTTTAAGGAAACTGAATACTGTTTCAGTTGAACACATTAGAAGAAGTGAAGTCCATCTAAATTGTCTTTTTGATTTTAAACGGTTTAATTACATTTTTATGTTCCATGATTTACAATGAACGAAATAAATACAAGAAATATATTCTGTACAGAAAAATTCTGATAAAATTTCCGAACGAATGACTTGAGTCACAACATTTTGCTCTAATAAGTGTAATGATGTACAATTAATGCGAAAAGCGTTCGTCTTCAGATATATTGATAAATAATTTTGACAGTTCTTGTAGTAAATATACATGTCGTGTTTACCTATAAATCAACAAACATTTATATTGAGAGTTTTTCTCATCTTTATTTGTGCAAATATTGAGTAATTATTTTATGATATTTTATCCATCTTGAAGAGTAGTGCCCTTTTATCAAGTTGGTAGGAACTGTAAAGTTGATTCACGAATTCAAAAGGAATAAAAAAAAGGATTTTAAATTACTTTCTTAATTCCACCATTGAGATTAACTTCAAGATATAACCTCTTTAGTTCCTTTGATTTGATCGTCTCATCCACCGGGTATCATTTTAATACTCGCAACGTGTACCCAAGGGTAATTCTGCATCTCACGTCTTAAATAAAATTCGTAACTTCGTCATGCGGTATTTGAAAAGATCTCTTGCATTCTGTAAAACCTGTTCATTTTTAATACTGCTCCGTTGATTAATATTATTATTCCTGTCCACTTTACCTACACGGATTTTTTTACTCTCGAAAAATAAGTGTAGACCCTTACTACAGAATTGCCACATTTATACTCTCCTAAAAGTTAGTATATAAGGGAAGTTTTATTCGCCCTTAAAAATGACGTAATATCTATCTATCGTAATATCTATCGACTGTAGTCAAATGTATAACTTTGGTTCACAAAGTCATTTTGAAAATCGATAAAAACGTATGTGGGTGGAATTTTTTGCATGGATTTTGCGGTTGACAATAGAAATTCTGGTATAAAAATGTCACTTAAAACATAGTACAAAGAATTTCAGGCTAAAGTGACTAGAATTTGAAGTAAAGTGGTAACAGTAGTCCCAATTAAAACTGTCTGCATCCCAAGTAACACTATGTAAAAATTATGAGTTAAAAGTCGCAATTGTATGCAAGAAAACTGCAATTTTTACAACAAAAAACTAATTTTTTTTTTTTTTTTAAATCATTTGGTGAACAAATACCGATTTTCAACAATCGACAACATGAGATCCATATGCCATAAAGACATGCAATATGCAATGCAATGAAAAATAGCAACTTGTGAGTTCAATTTTATTGTAATGAATATAAGAAATAAGAGTTCCTTCAATCTGTAGATAGACAACATACACAACGCAACACACTCCGATGCAGTAGCAATGGAGACGTTGCATTGTTGCATTTGTGAGGAATTTGCGATTTGACTTTTGATTCTTATGTAAAAGTTCGCGAGAAACACAATGAAGCCACTGGTTTTCTCTGAAATTAACTCCCAAGCTCAAAAAAGAACTCAAGCTGAGGCCAAAATGGAGGGGATATCCCACGCTATCCTGAGAGTCCACCTCTACATCAAGACAAACTATCCATGCAAAGATAAGGAGAAAATACATTGACAGGGCTGCCACTTTATTTGGGGACTCCAAAACTGAAAACACGGCATCACTGCTTATGTATTTGCTCCCTATCTTTGCATGGAGAGTTTGTCTTGATGTAGAGGTGGAATCTCAGGATAGCGTGGGATATCCCCTCCATTTTTGCCTCAACTTGAGAGCTTTTTTTGAGCTTGGGAGTTGATTTCAGGGTAAACCAGTAGCACCATCGTGTTTCTCGAGAACCTTTACGTAAGAATCAATAGTCAAATCGCAAATCCCTCACACATGCAACATCTCCATTCTTTTACCATGAAATTGCAACCTGTGCTATTCGAGCTCTCATGACGTGACCGCGCCAGAAATCGTGACGGTAAATGGACTGCATTCTGCAATTTGGACTTATAAATTCCGGCCCGGTTTAAAAACAACGTATGTGCCATTAGTTTCCCTATGCACATAAGTGTTTTTTTCAGATGAGTCAGAATTTATAGGTCCAAATTGCAAAATGCAGTCCAAATGTACACCTTTGCAACTGGATTACGGATCTTTGATTACGGATCCCGTATGGTGAGATCCGATTCGGACGCAGCAGAAATCTTGACCGCGTCGCGGCCCTTTTTACGCCAGGCTTGACTCAGACTCAATGTCCGTGACTCCGCCATCTTGTTCCTCTTGCTCGACCACGTCTCCTCGGCCACTTCGCAGTTCATCGGCGTCGCCTTGTGCTTCCGGAAAAGGCCGAATTTCAGGGACTTCCGGCCGTTCTCGGCATCTGCCTCGTTCTCGATACTCACCGTTGCCGGAACCGGATCGCTGACTTCTTCCGGGGTGTTCCGTCCGGAATTTTCCGGAGATGGCTCCCCCGATTCGCTCGAACCTATTGACAAAATATCAAGAGTGAAATGAGCTAGCTAGGAATTACCTCAATTGGAGATACCGGATTCTGGTCATTCGTGTTTAAATTGTTTTCTGACACTAGGAATAGGCCTGTTGCAAATTCCACTACACGGTAAGGAAAACTAACCAACATAGCATATGTACCGCGTTAAACAGAAAGGAACCAAGCCACATCAGCTATTGCCAAATTTAATCGGGGAATTTAATTTTTTACATGAAAACGGTTGTGCGGATTTTTGTGCAAATTTCAGTGAATTTTCTTCATAATGGCAAAGCAAATTCCTCAAAATTTTCAAAGGAATCTGCATAGACGTTCTCTCGTAAAAAAATTGTAATTTCCCTGTTAAATTTGGCAATAGCTGATGTGGCTTGGTTCCTTTCTGTTTAACGCGGTCCATATAATGCCTCTACTGATCCGGGTGTTTCCTTGGAAATTTTAAAACCACCTCTTGCGACACACACACACAAAAAAAAAAAAATAATTGACGGTGAAAGAGTTCGCAACCAAGTATCGTCATTCGTCACCTTCTGGCCGAAGTATCACAAACGCCATGGGACGTTTAAAAATTTCCGCCGCCATTTTATTCTTTTACAGAGAAATTTTTCAACGAAGCTGTCCGAACATTTCACAAAATTTTCTTCGTACTGCCGATAAAATTCAGTGAAATTTTCAAACAGATGTAAGTGACTTATATATACTTTTTTTTCATCTTTTTTTAAAGGAAAATATTTCTTCATTTTAAAATATTTACATTTTTAAAACGTGTCGAATATTTTTAAAAACTTTTTCAACCGATGGCGTCGATATTAATCTCAATGAGCCGTAGTGCCGTTGAAAGAAATCGTACAAAAATGAATGAAAGAGGGGACAAAACCAGGAAGCACGCAATCTTTGGGTGTAACCCATTTGTGTATCGATATTTCATAGTCAAATATGTCCAATTTTCAGCGTTTGATTGCGCCTACACCATGCTGCAGCTCAGTAGCAGCAAAAAATATAAAATAAAAAATTAATGTGCTTTGGAAATCATTGAATTAGACACTGAACCACCTACATATTTACAAAACACACATTGGGTTTTCCAATACATAGTTTTTCCCCATCAATTTCGATGAGCATAATCCATGCAGAGTGCGCAAACATACCAAAATCATGAGTTGAAAAACGCTGACTCCGCGAGTTCAAATATTTGTGCCAAACACAGCGGAGCGGCGGGCGTGCTACTAGCGCGACACGCGCATTGGCGCCTACAAACCTAACAGGGATACCTCACGCATTGCGCAATACGTGAAGTGTCCCTGTTAGGTTTGTAGGCGCCAATGCGCGTGTCGCGCTGGTCGCCTTCGCTCGCTGCGCTGCTTCAAGCAACTATTTCGCAACAGAGGTGCGCACAGTATCATACGACATCGAAGGCGCTTCAACGTATTGAGAATGACAGGCATCTTTTACGAGCACGGAGTTTTCCTCACAAGATAAATCATGATACTACGGCACAAAAAGGGAGCGGTAGTCTGTGGTCCAAAAACTCGCAAGTCCACCAACAATTTCTCCGTAAAAAAATAAAATGGCGGTTGAAATTTTTGAACATCGCTCGTTTGCGGTGTTTCACGACTTCAAAATAAGGTCTTCCTGATTTAATTAAAAAATGAGCCTTCTGATCGGAAAAAATTTGGAGTCGCCTGCGGCATTTCTCCTCAGCAAGGCAGCAACGCCTCTCAGTCCCTCGCACGATTGCTCGGTGCTCACAAACTGATTATCGTCCGAGAAAGTTTCATGCTATATTGGTTTCTTTCGGTTACAAAATCTTGACTGCACCCGAAACTTCATAGTATAATAATTTAAAATATACAATTGGGTAGACTACCTAACGAGTTAATATAAAATCCCAGCAGTCTGATTGTTGAAAAAGTTAAAAAAGTTAAAATTGGTAACTCACTTGCACGTTTTAATATTCTAATACGTCTTAATATTCTTTGCAAAAAAAATATTAAAACTTGCAAGTGTGTTACCAATTTTAACTTCTTTAACTTTCTCAATTATTTCTTGTGCGGTAAAAGCTCCCCTCGAAAGTTTTCACTGATTGTTGAAACCTTAACTGGCTTTGTCGGCACAATAAGACAAGACATAGCCCTATCTGCGGTGTATAATACATCGCTTTTCGATTCTTGTCGTGCCGACATAAGTTTCAACAATCAGGGCCCAGATAAATAGTAAACTTTAACTGGAAAAACGCATCTCGCGTGCTGTTATGATAAACATGAAAAAGACAAGAAAGTGGAAAAACTGATGACAAGAAAATGGCTTGTCTGGTCTTCTCTGTATTACTGGTTGCCTAGCTGTGGTAGGTAGCCATGCCCTATTTATATTTAGCGCCTTTCACTCTATACTTCATTTTGTTTACTATATTTTTCTGCTACCTCTATCAGCTATTTCCATTGGTTTTTAAACATGTTTAACATTATTTCATTTTTGACCAGTTCCCAAGTTTTTAGTTCGCTTTGCCTCTCGATATTTTTCTCCATCATGCATTGTGACAATTCTTTACTGTGATTAACTTGTTTCTGTGTTTCGTTTTAAGTGCTCGCTGAAGATGGGCTAAGCCCGAAATGCATCCAAGCCATTAAACCTTATTCAACAATATGCGTGTTTGGGTATACTTTTTCATCTTTTCCATGGTAAACTTTACCTGGAAACTTCGTTGTGACAACAGTTTCCGCACTCCCGGAGGCCTCCGACATCTTTTTCGAGTCCGGCGTACTTGATTCGCTGATTTGAATCTTCGGAATGCTGGAAACAGAGCCACCCAGGCTATTCTCTTCCTCTAAATCGGTTTTCTGCCTTGAATTCTTCTCCTGTTTTTTCTCCTTCTCGCCCCGACTCTTTTTGCTCTTACTCTTTTTCTTCTTCCCCGCTTGCCCGTGTGCACTATTTTGTAAAGCGCTCTCGGATTTTTTCCGTTCTTTTTTGTTGGACTTCTTCTCGGCATCTTCAGAGAGCGAATCCTGACACTCAACATCGGTACCGTCGGCATGTTCGTCTGATCCTCCTTTTTTCTCCTGAACCGGCAATCCATCAGTCTTGGTCATGACTTGCTGCACAATATCTGCCATCGTATCTGTCGATTATAAAATATCTACGATAAGATTATTGATTTCGTTAATCGGACTATATTTTGCTGATAGGGATTAAAATTCCTGGCTCTGTTTAAAAACAACGTAGGCACCATTAATTTCCCTAGAGACACAGGTGTCTTTACGGATGAATCAGAAATTGTAGTTCCTGATCGCAAAATGTAGTCCAATTATTCTGAACAGCGGGCTGATTGTTGAAATTGATAGACAAAGATATAGACAAAGAAGACAAAAGGGATGTGGAGGGATCCAAATGGTGGAAGCGAGTGGCTGCTATGGACAAGAGGGTTAGGTAATAGACCAAATAACGGCAACCCAAGAGAGGCCCTGTAGTTGGTTCATCATTTTCTCCCTTTTCGACCAATAGGATCGCTCCATACCCCCTATGTCTTCTTTGTCTATAGCTTTGTCTATCCATTTCAACAATCAGCCCAAGGGTGTCGCATGAGAAACGATTGTGTTAGGTGTCATCACAACAGGGGCGTCAAAAAAATAGAGCAGAGAAGGATTAAGAAATAAAGAGGAGAGGAAACGAAAGGAATATACGCCGGGTGAAGATGTCGTCGATGATGAGTTGTGAAGGCGATGTAAAAAAGAAACGATTATCTTGTCCTCATTTGCCTCGTAACTTGAAATGACAAAGAAAGAATAATGCACCTAAATAAGTTAGAAAACTGTGAAAATTGAAGAACCTCCAAGTCTTTATCATCTTTTCACTTCAACACTTCAACATACTCTTAAATTCATTTCATGCAAATTACCAATCTAAACTGACTTAAGTTTCATTTGCAGCCATCCGCAAATGAAAGTTGATTATTATACCAATAAATGAACATATTTCTGCCAAACGGAACTATGTCCATTATGACATGAGTCCTGAGACCCATAAGAATGTATGCGTAACAGGGCTCAAGTCAAAATGCACTTAGTTCCGTTTGGCAGAAACACGTCCAAATATGGGTCTTCCTTAGCACCATCTGAGATCATTCCCTGAAATCGCATGGAAAGTACCTATTGAGTGCTTCACCAGTAGTATAACAAAAAATATATCTAATATTTCAGTAAGTTGAACTGACCTTTTCGCTTCAGCTGTAGGGTCCCTTTAACTTTTGCTGCTTTCGTAGGTGACGAGGGGTTTGAATCATTGTCTTTGTCCCCAATTTTTTCCGAGTTCGCTTGAACTTCCGGCAAAATCTGCTTCCATTTGACGAGTGTTGAGTCGACGTAATCATCGATTCCTCTCCTTCGCCTATCTGCAATCTGAAACATTTTTCTTCTCTCCTCCGTTCGCTCCCGCCGCAGTTGCGTCTGAAATATGCATTAAAACTAATCAATTTTCAGTGAAAATGGAAACAACCCTTTCAATATACTCTTATCTGAAGAATACCATACATATTGAATCACAGCTCTTTGGTATTAATACAATTCAGTCAAATACCCTCACAATTTGATTACTTTCATTTTTTGTTTTTTATTTGCTGTTCATCTTTGGATTGAATTAAATTAACTTGAACTTGAACTAGACATACCAAAATGGTCCGTTTCGGACCATGTATGTTTCGTGACTATGCAATGTTATTTTTCGGATGCCGGCTGGCTATGCTATCAGGGACGAAATGATGATACAAAGATCGAGCTGAAAGCAAATATTAAATCAAAAGAATGGAATTAAACTAAATGGTGTTAACGTTACAAGCATGCAAATGAAAGATGTAAAAACGTAGACATTTCGACTCATAGGATAAGGATCTTCTCCAGTGCACGATCAAAAAACAAATGGAAACATTTAAATTGAAATACTCACAAAAACAACAAATCGATCGTGCACTAGATCCTTGTCCTATGGGTCGAAATGTCTTGCCTTTGCTACTTTTTGGAGTCTGTACATGTTTCATCAATTGATTGCTCGTAAATTCAACATCATGCGGTTGGATTACATTATTTTTATTTAATATTGACTTTTGGCTCGATTTTTTCATTATCATTTTGTCCCATTATGTTGTCATTATGTTAACTTATCACTAAGAGATTAAATTGTAAATGATGTAATATGGACAGAATAATGATCATTATGGAGACCACTAGGAAACCAGTAAGTCGCCGCATTGGTCCCACTGGGGTAACGGTAACATGCTAATCTTACTATGATACTGCATTGAAAATAATATGTTGGCACCATGTTGACGTCATCGTGGCGCCATGTTTCACTTAACAACAATTGCTCGTTTCTGACAGGACAGCGGGCAAGTTATTTAAATATTGTGTTTGTCAACTGGATTAAGGTGGAATAGAGCGGTGTGATTCGTCTGCTACGTTTTATCGCTGCTTCACCGTGGGTGGAATTGACGGCACGTTGTCCGGATCTCACCAGGTGCTTTTAGCCTGTCGTAAAATTTTCTCGACTTAGGTAAGATAAATCAGCGACAAGGCGTACATAGTCAACCAATCAAATTACTCTATTTTATCTGAGTCTACCGCGTCAATTGTCCAGCGACCAATTGGTCGCCAATTGGTCGTTGAAATTGGTAGACAAAGCGATAGACAAAGATGACAAAAAGGATATAGAGGGATCCAATTGGTAGAGGCGGCGGGTGGTTGCAATGGACAAAGGTGGTAGGCAATAGAGTAACTAACGGCGACCCACGAGAGGCCTTTTAGTTAGTCCATCATTTTCTTCCCTCAGTCTATAAGAACCACCCATTTCAACCAATAGAATCGCTCCACACTCCTTATGTTGTCTTTATCTATCGCTTTGTTTATAAATGTCAACAATCAGTCCGTAGGCAACAAATACACAACTCCAATAATCCGTCCATCATTTTTTTCCTTTAGTCCATAAGAACCACCCATCTCACCAATAGAATCGCTCCACACTCCTTATGTTGTCTTTATATATCGCTTTGTTTATAAATGTCAACAATCAGTCCGCAGACAACAAACACACAATTCCAATACTAATCCACCTGCAGAAACGCTAAATACTCGGTAAAATTTTTGTCACCTTTAAATCGTTGTTCGCCTCCCGAAGAGCGGAAGTGAGAGAGAGGAGGTAATAGATGACCAGGATGAGGAGCATGAGGAGAGGAATGACTATCCCGGGCGACGCGACGTAGTCCATGACGCGATGTAGCTTCCGCGGCACGATCTTGCGGAGGGTGTTGGTGAAGATGTAGTAGATGCGCTTGTGCCCGGAGAAGGGCCCGCAGTGCCAGGAGGGCTCGACCCAGACGATGGCGTAGCCCACGGGGAGGACGCAGAGGAAGAGCATGAGGAGGAGGAGGGCGAAGAAGAAGTTGTTGGAGCGGGAGGCGCGGAAGACGATCTCGTGGGGGACGTTGCAGGTGAGGACGGCCCAGGCCCGGAGGTACATGATGATGATGAGCTTGATGACGTTGATGAGCGGGAGCCCCGGCGAGAAGAAGATCCCCATCCAGACCATCCCTTGGTTGTTGACCAGGTGGAGGATGTTCTCGGCGATCTTGAAGTCCCCGTACTGAGGGAACTTCTTCTCCAGGTCCCAGCACCAGCAACGGTTCATGAAGCGCACGAACAGGGCGCGCAGGAAGTCGATGATCACCGTTGAGAGGATCGTCATCACCTGTCAGAAAAGAAGAGCAGCTCAGCGGGCTGATTGTTGAAATTGATAGACAAAGAAGACAAAAATGATATGTACGGATCCAATTGGTGGAAGCGGGTGGTTGTAATAGACAAAGGAGATAAGTAATAGAGATAAGTAATAATCACGAGAGACCCCGTAGTTAGTCCATCATTTATCTCTTAGTCTATAGGAAGTCTGTAAAATCCACCCAAATTAAACAGTAGGATAGCTCCATACTCATTATGTCATCTTTGTCTATAGCTTTATCTATCAAAATCAATCATCCCGCAGGAGCCGTCCATAAATTACGTCACCCAGTAGGGAGGAGGGGAAGTCTGGAAGTGAGTGAGAAGCTGGTGAAAAAGGGGAAGGGGGGATTATTTAAGCCCAAGTTTCATAATGAATCTTTGTACGTAAGCAAAACTCCAAAAAACTTATGCTAAAGCCAATTTATACGTGTAATATTAAAGTGATAATGTTTTTTTGTAAAGCAAGGTATGAGGTATTCATCGCGTTAGAGTATTTCTAAGCTGGTCTCATCAATCAGTTATGGGGGTAATTAGACAACATGTAGCAATTCGGAACTACAATTTCTGGCTCATCCGTATAAAAACATTTTTCTAGATGAGGAAAATACAAGTAATGGTACTTATATTGTTTCTGAATCGAGCCAGAAATCGTATGTCTTAATTGCAAAATACTGTCCGATTACATGTAGCAGTCTTGCAAGCCTTATGGACGCCACCAAGATGTATATAATGAACCCGCGGTATTAGCCATAACATGTTACTTGACGCCATTCACCGTGCTTCTTCAACGTCTTCATTCACATCGCGGATAGAGACTTGACGTTCGGGCTTACAGTATTTTTTCCCTCTCACTTAAGGATCTACTATTAACGCGTCACGTAAGCAATTGACAATTAGTTCATCGTGGAGATGGTAACATACTTCGGTCGAACAATTTAATTTGAAGTAATCTACAAAGTCTCAGAAAACAGCATTTCCAACCTAAAATTTAAAAGGTTACTTCATCTGTATAGTAGGCTACGCTGGAATTAAGTTAAGGTGTAATCTAGAAACAAGCAAAGCACCCTCAATTGGTATCGCATGCAACGAACTCTGTTCAAATTCCATTTTAACGCCTGGGAGCAACTATTCGGGCTCCGCGGGTGTCATCGTTGCATACGCACACAATTGAAGGCGTTTTGACTTTCCAGGCACTCGCCGCTTCACCCGAGACGCAGCTCGGCTGCCTCCGAGCTATACTGCGAGAATCCTAAATGAGCGCATTCAATTCTTCGTTGACACTACGAATATCGGCGGTGAAACTTTAAAACCATGTATCTCGTTTGCAGTGTTTAAAAATCTCAGCTCTTATTTTATTTTATTTTTTGAAGAAGAACAAATGAAAATCATTCCTTGAAGTTCTCAGAATTTTCCTCGCATTGAGAGGGACAACCACGAGATTCATTAAGATTTGGATGTATTAACACTAAAAGGAACTATGTGCGTCGCAGGAACTATGTGAGACAGTCCTTTTAGCATAATTACGTCCATTTGATGTTGAGTGATTTTTTTTTTTTTAGAAAAACAAGTATCACGAGACGTGTGTAACGTTGCAAACCGAGATATGTAGTTTATGAGTTTCACCGTCAATACACAGTTTATTCTATTCATACATTCCTTTAACAATAAATAGTTCCTTTTGGGTTTTATGTCTCTCTCCTTGTTCGTTTTTTTACTGACCAAATCTCCAACGGTGAGCTTGACGATCTCTTGACCGAACATTGTTTCCCAACAGAGTCTCCGAAGTTTTCGCCGAGTTTCAATATCCAACTTGGTTGTAGAAGGAGTCTCTTGAAGTGGTTCTCGAGTGCAATCTCCTAATATTCCATCAAAAAAGAACATAAAATTACATAATTTGGATGCACAATTAAACACTTTCGGAAAACAATTGTCTCTATAAAATTGTCCATTGTATGTTATTATCGATGTTTGCCCATAAGAAAAGGTTTATATGTCATGAAAATCAATGGAACAAAATCTGAAATGTTTCTTCCGATGAAAATTTCATAAATTTTAACTAACGAAATCTCTTAAAATGTGTTTAGGTCATAATACTGTGTTGAGAGTTGATTTCTCGTGGGCATTTTTTCAGATCAATAAAAAAATATCCATCAAAATTCCCTTTTGCAACAATATTCACAACAATGAGACAAGGAGACATGGAAGTGCCTGTGAAAGACACGAACAAAGGGCAAGAGAGATGCTTATTTTTAAAAATTGTAATGTTGATCAAGCTATTAAATCACAAAGCAATTGAACATAGTCATGCTTAGGCACATCAAGCGTAGGCAATAATACAATCACTTGAAAATGATAAACAAGGTACACCTAAACGTTTGAATTCGCGTGAATGTACGTCTGGTCATAAAAGCGAGATGAACTGACCAAAAGCTAAAATTCAGGTGGGTTTAAATTTCAAGAATGGTTGAGGAGTATTTTTTATAACCATAGGTGTGGTCATCGCAAATTATTCTGAAAGTTCTTCATTGGCTTTTGCCTTTTCGTAAGATTTGCGATTAACTGGGGCAATATTTTATCACACGATGTTTGTTTCCCAAAAGGACACGGTGCAATGAAAAATTGAAATATAATTGCAATTCAATTGAATAAAGCATTTTTCTCATCATGGAATTGCAATATTTTAAAAATAATTTATTTAGAAATTCCGCTTTTAAATAATCAACAAAATGCGTTCCATGGGTCAGAAGCATGGGAAAGTACTGCAAACAAATATCGCAACGTATTACAATTTTATTGAAATGAATTTCAGTAGGAGGTGTTTCTTTAATCGGTAGATAGGCAACATACACAATACCTCGAAACAATAGCAATATATTTACCATAGAACTGCAGTTTATTGAGATCTGTGCTATTTAATTGTGTTAGAATTAGTTGGTCTCTTTCAATTCAAAATAATCATAGATTCCACGTTACACAAAGAAAAATTGTGAATAAATTTTGACGCGACGACGAAAGATGACGTAGGGGAATCAACTGTTGAGCTGTCAGAGTGAGGATGTAACCAACCATGGATTACATTGTCTTTTAACAAATATCATAAGGACTTGGCGTGTAAATATAGGAAACTTTTTGAAAGATTGGTGGAATAGGTTTCAGTTAAAGAAAAATTGCTGAGATTGAATAAACCCAAAAGTTTGACATGACTTTCGACTACTTGGGTGATGTCTCCATCCACAGGATTCATAAATACGAAAATTCAATTATTCCCCTAGTTAAACTCACTTGGCCATCGCAAGGGTTATTATTTTTTCGATCAAACAACACAGCGCAAGATAAAGCATATACACCGTTTAGGAAAAATAAGTCAAATCCTCAATGAAAATTGCTATAGCCAAACATAAACATTTGGGAACACGGAAAGCTTTGTAGGAGGTACACCGCTAAGCTCAGACGCCATTACTGCCGTGCTAAGGAGAAACGTCGTATGAGTATTCGCGTGTTGCCAAATTGCATCTCGGAAAATGTTTATTTTTGAAGAAACATATGAATATATTTCAATGAAATTTCCAGACACTTCAGACCAAATTATGAGCAAAATTTTTCGAAAAATTGGAAGGTGATCATTTGTAGATTTTCCCGAAAATCCATGATTTTACGCAGGAAGTTTGGCAACGCCTGAAGGCTCATACGCCGTTCTTCCTTAGCACTGCAGATTAGAGGACGGACGTATTGTACCTGTCTTAAACACAGCTTCACTCGATCCACCGGAGCTTGTAAACCCCGACTTGTTAGGCCAATCAGTGTGGATTGATGCTTCCGTATTCGAAAGGGTCGCGGTGCTAGCCGTGCTAAAAACGTACTCCGTTGAAGAATTATCAGTTGTTTCCTGTTTTATCGTAGTAATACTACTATTCTGGGTGAAATTTAGGAGGCTCGATGTTGGGACGGGGATATTTGCGAAAGGGCGTGGGATGCATTCAACGGTCGTTGAACCGTTGAGTCTCTGGGACGCAACTGTTGAGGGCTGAGTACTGCTCGTTGGCGGTTTGCTTGAACTTGTCTCAGCGTATTCGCTTACGTTAGCACCAAAACTAGGTGTTGCACTCGTGTTGCTCTCTTCTCTTGTCATTTTGGTAACAGTATTATCACTCACGATATCCGTTGTTTTTGACACTTCCGTCGTAAAGCTGACCTGTGTCACTTTCGGAGGCTCTACTGTACTGACGTTCACGCGATATTCTTCCTCACCTGTGGTGTTCTCTGCTGTTCCGTTTTCAATGGGAGCCGCCGTCGGTCCGTCGCAAACTGTGACGTAACATATGGTTTCTTTCAGGACCGAGGGTGTTTCACGAGTTGAGGTGTCCATTTCCATGGTTGTGCGATTTTCTTCCTCTTCACTAAGGCCCAGTAGAGTCAAATCTGTAGCGTTCCATTGCGGTGGAACAACAGCTTCGGGGTCAGAGAAGTTTAACGTCACTTCCCCGCTAACGTTGTGTAGCTCGGTGTAGTAGCGCACTAGATTCAAGTCTGTTTCAAATGTGGCGAGAAATGATGAATCGAGGATATTGTCGGGTAAGTTGAGGTTTGGGCTTTCCGTATTCGACAAATCTGTGAGGTTGAGATAATCTGTGATGTTGAGCTCGTTTGTGAGGTTGAAGTGGTCTGTGAAGTTGGAGTTATCTGTGAGGTTGAAAGGGTCTGTAAGGTTGGGGTTGTCCGGCAAGTTCAAGTGGTCTGTGAGGTTGAGATGGTCCGTGAGGTTGAGGTGGTCGGAGAGGTTGGCCGTGAGGACAGAAGACACTCCTACGACGAGGCCGGCCGTGCGGCCGATGAGGCTGCAGTTTATGGGGATGCGATGGCAAGCTGCGATGAGAGACATTGCTCGAGGAACCTCCCACGAAGAGATTTCCGTCTCGACCTCGGAGAAGAAACCGCCTTCACTTTGCAACCCGGCAAATTGCGGTGGCGGGCTCGTTGAAAGGAGGCCCGTCCTGGAAGTTAGATTTTCTTTCATTTGCCCAAGGGTATGCGTCTGCAAAAGACAACGAACGAACAATAAACACTCTCATTATTGCATTTACTGTATGAATTTTGAGCTTGACCGGCACCTAGGAAAGATAAATTGGGGCAAATTTGATAGAGGAAGTAATTTTCGTGCCGGGAATGTGCTTTCCTGGATAACCCTACACTATCAAAATCTCTAGGAAAGGGACCTGGTCCGGTGGTCCGCGCATCCTTTTTTTGCTGAGGTTTGGCTTCTGACAATCCCTCATTACAGTTTTACACAGAGTTAGGGGTTACATTCTTCATACTTAAATGTCAAGATATAGAAATATAATTGAAATTAATGTAAATTCAATTCCTGAGTTCATTGTAATTCATTTCCTGAGTGTTAGAAATGATCTAAATTGATTTTGTAACCTCATAATCCGTATGTTCTTTAGTGTCTTGTTTAGAATTTACTTACCATATTGCTTATTTCATTGAACACAGCAAACATGAATGTGTATATGTTCAGTAAGTTTAAAGCCATTATTCTGGAAAAAAAAATTAAATAAAATATTATTCATTTTTATTCTTCATAATAGGAGACACGTGCCATCAAAGAAGTACGGGTGAATTGGTTTTTAATTTTTGATCAAAGATAGACCAGCTACCCTCTTTTTCTGTGTATTGTTATACACATGCATGTATACGGAAGGAATCATATGATTATACTCAAGTATTGTAAAGTAATTATACTCATAATTATATTAGTAAATATTAGAAAGCCTTCTTTAAGTATTTTTCTGCACTTTTCAGTTTGTCAGTTCAAATAAGAATGTGTTGCCCGAAAATCGAATACTTTTGTGGACAGTTAGGATTAGGTCAGCAATGTGATAAGAATGAATTATTAGAAGGGAAGTATTATAGGGTCACAAATGCGTAGGAGGGTCGCTTTGACCAAGGTGGTTTTTTGTAACGTTTTATACTTTATCATAGCGACATCCACCATTAAACTGCTGTACAATTTTTGATTTCTCAGAGAGAGTTCACGTTTAGCCTTACGACGCTATTACCCTGTTTCTGAATTGAAAATGTCACATTTTTTGCTATAAAAAGGCGCGTTGTGGCACGTAATATGCTGCAGTTTCCAAACATGTTTGCTCCTTTCCGTCAGGCAAAGTTTTCAGCAGCAGTAAATCACTTTTCCGAGCCTCATTAAGGATTATCAGGCAACTCGTATTTATTTAGGAACATTTAAAAAAAAAGTACTATACCTCGCCAAGTGTATTCGTAGGCTTTTCCTGGGATGATACCTCTCTAACGCCCCCAAAAGTTCAAACATGTGAGGAAAGGCACTCCCGATAAAATTGATGACAATGTTGATCTCGTTTTGTCTCCACCATGAAGAATTTTTGTCTGGTGAAGTTGATCTCTCGACGACAAAGACGACTGCAGTGGCAGAGCAGACGAGAAGGACCGTGACTACCAAGTTTACGAAGATTCGGTTGAAAATTATTTTCCAGCTGATTAAAAAAGGCAAAACAAATATTACTTAACGAGAAGTACATACATGGTACTTTCAATGTTACTAAATTTATATTTACAAAGTACTACAGATATGTAGCTTATCATGCGCAATCTGAAACATTTTAATACCGGGATATTGCTTTCTAAAATAATACTGATTCAGATCTTGATTCAAATACTGAAACGACTTTTCTTGAAACTGTGTCAGTCTAAAAAAACAGTCCGAAATATGTGTATTCTTTTTGAAGGAATGGCTCAGAATAAATTACTACATTGATCTCTTTTTTTAATTACTTGCTTATACACATATGTCTTTATTTCCCTCATTCTCTTAATCTGACATGTAAAAGGCCCCACATAAAAAATGAGATCGAGAAGACGTTGCAAAATTGAAAACGCATCTCGACTCTCCGGCGGGTTGATTGTCGAAATTGATAGACAAAGCTATGGACATAGAGGACAAGAGGGAGGTGTAGGGATCCTATTGGTGGAGGCGGGTGGTTGCAATGGATCAATGAGATGAGTAATAGACTAACTAACACCAACCCACGAGAGACCCTATAGTTAGTCTATCATTTACCCCCTTAGTCTATAAGAACCATCCATTTCAACCGGTAGGATTGCTACATACTATCTGTGTCTTCTTCGTCTATAACTTTGTTTATCAGTTTAAAAAATCAGTTACTTCCTGTAAGAAGAAAAAGGAGTTGCATCTGCAAATTTTGATATTTTTCCAAGAGCTCCTGGGGTAAAAAGTTGTTTAAACAAACTTTAAATATTTCTGCAAGGGGGGGGGTATATCTAAGGGGTTATAGGGGGTAAATTTCGTACCTCAAATCCTCACGTTTCTTCTCAGCTTCCTCCAAGAGCGCCTCTTTGAAACTAAGGATAATTGAGGAAGTGCGATTGTGGGCGGTCTCGGCGTTGCCTATCATATAGTCCCAACCGGTGAACAGTTTCCATGTGAAGACGCACTCATCCTCTTTTTCGGACAATTTGCTTTGCCGTGAGTTGACTGCCATCCTGTAGATTAAGAAATGAGCATCATGGAATTATAAGTGAAAGCATCTTAATTATACTCGTACAAAATCTGAGAAAACATGGCTCAATTCAGGTAGAGTACCTTGGTAGGAAGAGTATGAACATGTCGAAATATGGAGCTCGTAGGACCCAAAAGAACCGCCAACCTTTGAAAACGAAAAATATCATTGCCAAACTTAGGGTTCTAATTTCAAACCAAAATGGCCAAGAATGTTCATAAATGAGCCATATAGGTGCTGCGCACGATACAAAGTGAATTATAAACGAAAAAAAGGAGCCGTATAATTTTAAAAAAAATTTCCAAGTAAAAATCAATTGAAAAAAATTTGCGCACTGAGTAGATATCAACGTATATCTGTGTTTTCTTATGCCTTCAGAATTTCTCTATTTACGGTATAATTACATTTTCTTAGAAAGCTTACCTTCGAAGTGTTGCGATAAAACTGTAAACGTATACCCCGATTCCGGTCAAAAAATAGGCCATAGGTAGTCTGTAGCCTTGTTGAGTGTCCTCGTCACGATTGGAGTAATAACCATAGAAAAGGGGAGAATACTTAAGAACCCCCTCAAAATTCCACAGTGTTTCGAAGGAGGTTGAATTCGCCTCTTCCTCGGGCAGCATCGTTTTCCGCTCTGAAGTATCTGTATTTCGATGGTTCACGAGCACGACCTATGATGAACATGGTCATTTCAAGGTTTTTTAACTTCAAATTGTAAAGTTGTGTATTCAAATAAATCAAAATTTAATCATATTCATGCTCCACACGGTGGATCGAGTCAATAGGAGAGGTAAACAAATTTGAAAACTTTGAACCATTTTTACTCCGTTTATACAATATTTGAGGTCCTGAAAGTAGTTCCATTGGTTTCCTCGTGAAATTTTCTTCAAGAATCACTCCTTTAAGTCTAAAATGTGACGAAATATACATAAAAATTTATAGTTTCAGTCGAAGTTTTAAAGTCCGACCTCTCAAATTGACTGGATCCACCGTGCTCCATTGCAAATATTGGTCCGTGATATTACGAATGGAAGCTTCGCCCTTTAAAACATTTACAAGCTGGTTGATCATTCGTTTTTTCACAGTTATGCAAGAATAAATTTTACATTTCAACCTAATTCACTTACTAACAGAAGTTGTGTTACAGTTGGACCGAGTTAAACAGAAAGGAACCAAGTCACGTCAGCAATTGCCAAATTTAATTGGGCAATTTGTCTTTTTACATGACAACGGTTGTGCGGATTTTCGTACGAATTTCAGTGAATTTTCTCCGTGGTGCGAAGCAAACTCCTTAGCATTTTCAAAGGAATTCGCACAAACGTTATCTCTCGTGAAAAATTAAATTACCCAGTTAAATTTGACAATAGCTGATTGGCTTGGTTCCTTCCGGTTAAACGCAGTACGGTTATCTTTACATCAAATTACATTGTGGTCTAATTGGAGGCGCAGTATATCTGTTACCATTCTTTAATTTGAGTTCAGAATCTATGTATGACTGAGGAGTGGCGCGGTTACTCCTTCAATTTGAATACTATGCAATTTTACCGACAATAAATCAGAACTCGTACGTAATACTTATAACGCTTTTCACTCGGATATTTTATTCGGACCGGTACAGAGACAAATTAATGATGGATTATAGCATGTTACATTATCTCTGGACTGAGCTTCACAAATACACTCTCTGAAAAAAGTCTGAGTTAATATGACTCAAAGTATTGTTTCGTTGCTTTTGTCACTTGAATTTTCAAATCAATTATTTTTCTCTTACCGTTCCATTATCTGTTTAACTTACCTCAGGTACCGCGACGAAAGCTATTAGAAGAATCGATATGACTAGATTGACCCAGAAAAGCCACCGTAAAAAAGTGAAGTATGATGCGACAGCAGACCCAAAATGGGACTCTATTTCCTTGATTCGCAGCTCCCACGGTATTAAAATATTCATTAAGTTTGCTAATTCTCGTTTGGAATTTTGCCATTGCTGCAACCAATGCAAAAAGAATCACATTCACAAGAAAAGTTTTAACTATCAGTATTTTAAAAAATATGCTTATTCCCTGCCCCCCCCCCNTTCAAGAAAAAGGAGGAAAGAAAGAGGGAGGACAGAAAAAAAGAAGGAACGGAGGAACAAGACGCTCGTATTTGGTAATTATTCATGACGAAATTGACTCAAACTGCAGTTTGGATGCTTTAAAATTTCGAAAATTTTCTTAGTTATAACTTTGTAGTAAAAAGCTAGAAAGTTGGCTTCTTTCTCCTAAAATAGAAGCGCACAATTTAAAACACCGCAACTGAGATATGTGGTTTTGCACTTAAGCCTTCGGTAAAATTACTTGTATAATTCATTAGAATATCTAAAATTGGACTACATTTTGCAATAAGAAACCACTATTTCTGGCTCATTTTAGAAACAACATATATGCTATTGGTTTCCCTATGGAGAAAGATTATTTAATGGAAGAGTCAGAGATAGTGGTTCCTTATTGCAAAGGGGGCGTATTTCTGCCAAGTGGAACTGTGCATTAAGACATGAGCCCTGAGACCCATGAGAATATATGCATAACAGGGCTCACGTCATAATGCACATAGTTCCATTTGGCAGAAATATTTCTATCAAACGGAACTGAGCGCCATAGGGGGAGGAAGGGAGCAGAGGAGGGCTTGGATTGGCGGGTGTTGCGGAACGCGTTGCTCGTTCCGTCCTATACTCGCAATGCTTTTCCATGGCTCATAGTTCCGTTCGACAGAACGCGCTATCCGGGATTCTAAAATCCTCAAAAGGAACATAATTCGGCGCTTGGTTCCGTTTAACAGGAAAACGTTCAATTATGACTAAAAATAGAAAGACGATATAGTCATAGAGGCAAATGGATACTAAATACCTTCGG